TTTTGACACCACAAAGTTGTAAATTACAGTTTTGTGTTTAATAACTTTATATATATATATATATATTTATTTTTTGAATGCTAACTTTATTTATTTTAATTATTAAATATATGATGAAGCTTGAAAGAAAGAAAAAATATATGATGAAGCTCTCGATCAAGATCCATCGTCCATGATATCCGCTATTTGTTGACAATTTGACATCTTTTGTATTTGATGACTTTGACCAATATTAAGTTTCCTTTTTTGTCGTCACTGAATGCGTCACATTTTAGTCCAGAATACGGAGTAAATTTTAAACACTTTTAAGGAGCTTTATTTATTTATTAGGAATTTTCCATGTTTCTTTTCTTTATGCCTTCTTTTCATGTTTTTTTTTGTGTTCCAAAAATTTTGTCACATTCTTTTTTGTGCTAAATTAATACGTAGTATGCGATTTGTATTACTTATATCTCCTCCAAACAAACCTTAATTTTACTTGCTGTTCAATTTTATATGTCCAACTTTGATTTGACATAATTAATAAATGATTGGAAAAGTAAAAATTGTGATTGAGATTTCAATATAATAAAATGTTATAAATCACATACGGAGTACTTCTTTCTAAAAAAATAAAATGATTCAAAAAGAAAAAATAAGACAAATAAAACGGGGAGAAAATAAATACGGACTATTTGAATAGGGTGGAAAAGGAACAACACACATGACAACGACACCTTTTAACTGTTTGTACATCTTTTGTTCCATCGATATAAATATCAGACATGTCTAATTGAATGCACAGAGGTGTAGTGCATTAAACATTTGGAGTGAAGTATAAAAATTGCAAAAATGAGGCAGCATTCCAAAAACACAATTTTCCTTGTCCTCCTAATTGCTCTTGTTTCAGGTATACATATTTTAAACTTTTATGTACCGTGTACGTATTCCGTTTGTAAAATACACATGTACTGCGGATATCACATACTTCCACGCACAAACAAAAATAAGAGCATACGGAGTACTAGGTATTTAGAGTTTTTTCCAAAAATAATGTCAAATAAAAAAATATTTCCCAAAATAAGGTTAAGTTAAAAGTATTTCCCAAAATACTGCTCCCATAACCAGTGGCGGAACCAGAAAAGAATTTAAGCGGGGGCACGGAGGTCGGCGAGCTAGCGGCTGGCGTCCGGTGTGGCGGCGTCCGACGTGGCTGGTGGCTCACTCCTGCGGTGCTGCTTTGGTAGTTTGGTTGTTGCTGCTTGCGCAAGGCCAGGGGCGGAAGAGTGAAGACCGTAACTGCTTTGGATTACTAGATTAGCAAATTGGCTATTGGGTTGGGCTGCAGGTTGATGGGCATTGGGCTTTCTTGGCCCAATAGGCCCTTAAATTTTTTCCCCAACCTCCATTATAACGATGCAGTATCTTTTAAAATTAAAATTAAAGGGACTAATTTTTTCATTTGCTCGCTTCTTCCCTGTCCTCCAGCCTGCAAACAGAGCTCTCCAAGACTTCGCCGGAAAATTGCAGCCGACCTGTCTGACGGCCCCCGAACCCCCTACCTATACCCTATCTCGGCGACCGAAGCAGGGGCACCTGCCCCCCTTGCCCCCTGGCAGATCCGCCCCTGCCCATAACCCCAGTTAAAATAACCGCCACTTGAAGTGGCGGCTTATCAGAACAAGTGAAGCACGCTGCAAGCCAAAACAAGATACTTGATACATGCACAGTAGCTAGGAGATAGGCCCCACAAAAATAAAAACCCCTTTATATTTTAAATTAATATAACTTTTTTATTTGTACTCTGATTATTGCAAAAAATATATCAAAATTCATAACTTTTTATTATCTTTCATATGACACCAGTATTGAATATATACAAACGAAAAAATATTTTAACAATTTTTAAATGTTATATCTTTTTATTTGTACTCCAATTGTTACAATAAATATACTAAAATTTATAACTTTTTGTTATCTTTCATAAGAAACTAATTCTGAAAATACCAAAATTAAAAATCTATTTTAATAATTTGTGCTGTTTAGAATCGTTTTAGATAGATCGGGTCTGGTCTGTCTAAGTCTGGTCTAATCAGATCTGGGACGAACGTTTTAAATAGATCAGGTCTGGTATGATCAGATCAGATCTGGGAAGAAAAACGACCCAAAATTAAAGAAACATCCTAAAACTGTACAAGGAGTAAAACAAGAGTATGTGCAATTTTATTTAAGCGATTACTCCAAATAAATGTGTGCACCGTAAAAAACGATTCTAAAATGCACAAATTAATAAAATTTATTTTTAATTTTGGTATATTCAAAATTAGTGCCTTATGAAAGATAACAAAAAAATATGAATTTAAAAATATTTTTTGTAACAATCGGAGTACAAATAAAAAAGATATATCAGTAACATTTTAAAAAATGTTAAAATATTTTTTCGTTTGTATATATTCAATATTGGTGTCATATGAAAGATAATAAAAAGTTATGAATTTTGATATTTTTTTTTGTAATAATCAAACTACAAATAAAAAAGTTAAATCACTTTGAAATATAAATAGGTTTTTTATTTTTGTGGGGGCCTATCTCCTGTTACTATGCGTTCATCAAGTATGTTGCTTTGGCTTGTAGCGTGCTTCAGTCGTTCTCATGAGCCGCCCCTTCAAGTGCTCGTTCTTTTAACTAGGGTTTAGGGGAGCAGTATTTTGGGAAATACTTTTAACCTAACTTTATTTTGGGAAATATTTTTTTATTTGACATTATTCTTGGAAAAAACTCAGGTATTTAATATGGACGTTACTATGTAATGATTTGATTTAATTTCAAGGTGACAACTCCGGTACCTTTCTAAAAACAGGGGTACCGTACCTAGCATTCATTTGATTGGACCACATCACTTTATCAATTTTAATTTAGATTTAACTAATTCAAATACTACATTTTCATTGGTCCATGTGAACAAAGCTATGGTACCTTATGGGTACCATAGAAACTACCTAATTTCAACTACTGATGTCAACTTTCACATAATAATTTACGGAAATTGTCCTAAATAGGACTAATGAGTTCTTAAAAATTATAAATAGGACTACTACTTTTTAAATTCCCTAAATAGGACTAAACATTGACTTTCTACCCTATATACCCCTAAGAGTATTAATTCATAATGAAATGCTTTAATTCATAATAAAATCTTAAAAAAAGTAAAAAATATTTAAAAAATGTAAAAAAAAATTATAAAAAATTTATAAAACATTTATAAAATAAAAAATTTAGTTTTTTTTAATTTTTTTTAAAAAATAATAATAAATAGTAAAAACTCATTAAAATGAAAAAAATTATGGATACTTTTCCCACCACCTCCCACCGCATCCCACCACTACCACCTCTGATTGGTGAAATTTCTTCCACTTTTGGTAAAAAATGCCATCTTTTTTGAAAATGCCAAAAAGATGGCATAATTACTCTTCAATATGCCAAAATTTTCATTGAATATGCCATCATTATGGCATTATTTAAAATGTTGGCATATTTTTCTACGGTGATGGGAGCTGGTGGTGTTGGGGGTGGCAGGGTTGGTAATGTTTCTTTTTTTTAATTTTACGATTTTTTATTTTATTTTTTTTTTTAATTTTTTTTAATTTTTTTTTATTTTTTTTAATATTTTTTTTTATTAATTTTCTATTATTGTTTTTACGTTTTTTTATTATTTTTTTCAATTTTTATTATTTTTTATGATTTTATTATTAATGAAAACAATTAACAAGTTACAAGGATTTATTTGTCCAAATACACATAAACAGTCCTATTAAGGAAATTTAGAAAATGTAGTCCTATTTGTGCAATTTTGCCACTTTTTAGTCCTATTTAGGGAATTGACTCAATAATTTACGGTTGCGAGGAATCGAGGGTAGAACTTAGGGTATGTTTGGTTCTATTCAATTTATTCCCATTTGTGTTTGGTTAACATCAAGCGAATGTGTCATAATTTATTTGGTTCAAAGATATCTTATATTACAGATATGAATTTAGGCATGGACCCGGTTCGGAACCGACCGGCCCGGGACCGGCCCGGCCCGCCACTGTGCGGGCCCGGAACCGGCCCGGTTCTCGGGTCCGGGTCCGGGTCGGGCCTAGGCCCGGTGGGGGGGCGGGTCCGGGCTCGGGCCTTGTATTTGGTGAACCGGCCCGGGCCAAAAATTGTTTTTTTTTTCTTCATTTTTTTGGGCTTTATTGAGTTGGGCTTGATGTTTAGGACCGGTTTGGGGGGTTTGGGGGGGTGGGGGTGAGGGGGGGGGGGGGAGAAAAAAAAAAAAAACTAACCGGGTGGCCCGGTCCGGCCCGGAACCGGACCCGGAACCGGTGGCCACCGGTTCGGGCTCGGGCCCAACAAAACAGACCCGAGGCCCGGCCGGGCCTAGGCCCGAACCGGGCCCGAACCGGGCCCGAACCGGCCCGGGTCCATCCATAGATATGATGAATTACTTTTATGCCCTTTAAATAGTTTCTCTTAACGCGATAAATTTATTACAACTTACATCTAAAGTGATTTAAATAATAATATAAATATATTTATTATCATCTCAAAGAAAAATAAAATTTAAAAAATGATCAAGTTTTTCGTAAAACTTGTTTTCAAAATAAGAAAAAATGATCAATTTCACTATTAAATTTTGAAATCCACTCATCAAAACCTAAATAATCTATAACTTTTATAACATAAATACCTTAAAAAATTAAATTTTGAGGAAAAAATTTATGCAAAACACAAGAATAGGCATTCGAATATAATTAATAATCTGTTCGTCCCACCTAAAAGGTTGTTATACAATTTACAATGTTCGAAAGACCATGAAACTAACCGATCCCGGTCAATTAGATTATTTATATATAAGATTATTTTTAGTAAACAAAAATTACATATTTAGAGACTACATTAAAAGTTTTATGAAGTTAATAAAACAAATATGATACCAAATAAATATATAAAGAAATTAAATGAAAAGAGATACTCCGTAATTAGTTGAAGGTATTTTTGGAAGAAAAATAGATCACCCCGGGAATGAGAGATAACCTAAGGCATGGATGGGTTTAACATTCCCTTCCATAATTACATTCATGGGAATGTAACTTTCCCGATTTCTTTTCAAATCCAAGAACCAAACAAGAGTATCTAACATTCCGTGCATCACATTGCGGCCATCATGTGAGATCACCCCAACCAAACGGGCCCTTAGTGTTTCCTTCTGTATTTCTTTTCCATTGTATCCATAAAAAATAAACCCGCTCCTTGCCAAAGATTAACGGCTGGTGTCAAAATATAAACCGAGCTCGATAGAATTTTGAAAAGCTCGTTTGGTGTTCCTGCTTCTCGGCTTACAAGACTTGTAATCAATCAACTTTTTCAGAAAATATATAATTTTTTATTTCGTGCGCTGGATTATGTAATAATCAAAATAGTTAAAGTTGAAGTTACTTTTTTGACTGAATTGACCGAAATTAGTATAGAAGACCATTTAGCTATTTTTTTTATAAAACTTTGATTTTTTTAATAAAATATATTTTAAATATATTTTTTACATAAATCAGAAGAATCAGTCACTTCATCCAGAAGTTCATAAATTTGAACTGATTCAGCCAATTTCAGTATTACCAAACTATTTCTTAATGTCCATGATACTTTAAAACTCGATTTCCCCCATTTATACATTTAATCATTGGACTATTATGAGATGAATTTTTTCGTACCTTCTTTCGAAGCTATTCTTTAACAATTTTTCAACTTTTGTAAAAATATTTTTAGTAATTTGGCTCCGATTTAGAGCCCGTTTGGTAGCACGAAAATCGGTTGTTTTGGCTGATTCTGCTGAAATTTCGGAAGTTCTGGCTGAAGTGGCTGTATTGGCTGATTCTGCTGATTTAAGAAACAATTATTTTAAAAATATATTTTATTAATAAAGTAAATAAAAAATTATATGTAAAAATAGTTAAATTGGTCATCTGCAGTGAATTCAGCCAAAACAGCCAGAAAAATAACTTCAATCTTACTTTTTCTACTTATTACACAACTCAGCGCGCGAAAGTAAAAATTATGTGTTTGGTGAAAAAATTGGCTGATAAACCTGATAAGCCGAAAAACAGGACTGCCGAATGGCCTCTTAACCGCAACAAGCGGACTCCATCCACTATAATCCTTGTGTGTAATGTGTGTAATGTGTTTGCAGTTGACGGTCAAAATAACACCTGCCACAGTACGCATTATCTCAATGTTACGTGCGACGTGAATGGTTGTCACGCCCCGGACCTCCCCGGACACGTCAACAACCCGCCGTACAATACAAATAGTCAACCGCAGTCCAACACATTCATATTATACAAGGCGTCTTGAATATCATTCACACACGTAACATCCATAAACAAACATAATAAGTAATTCATAACGCAGCGGAAAACATTGTTTAAAACAAAGGGCCACACAGGGCTATTCATGAGCACGCAGGCTCTAAAGTAAAATATCCATGAGCATGTTTATTAATGTTTAAAAAACGAATGGAGGAAGCACGAACCAAGTCTTCCCTCCTAGATGATCTCTCGAGCAACGAGCACAGGAAGCAAGCTCTAGCCTCAACCTGAAAAATGGTGGTGGGACGCCCCCGAAGGGGTCAGCACTCTATAGGGCTATAAAGTGCTGGTGTGGCAGGCATCTAATAGATATACAACAAGTATTTCACACACAAGACCCTCAAATAGGGTGATAATATAGTATAGGCCGTAATCTCAAATTACCCCTTTCAAAATATATACTTACTTTATATAAAGTCAAGTAGTCGGCTCAAAGGCCCATGTTTGTTATAAAACATTTTCCAAAACCCCGTGACTAATGGTCACGACATACGTAGGGTCCAACCCTAATACAACTTCTCATTTCTAGAGTTCGGCTCGAGTACATCATCATGCACTCGCATCATAGATCTCCTACTTCATATAATCATATCATAGATCTCCTACTTCATATAATCACACCATAGATCTCCTACTTCATAAAACCACACCATAGATCTCCTACTTCATAAAACCACACCATAGATCTCCTACTTCATAAAACCACACCATAGATCTCCTACTTCATAAAACCACACCATAGATCTCCTACTCCATGATTTCCCAATTGACACTTGAATCTCATTCAAGTTCATCACAAACAAACTCAACCTTTAAGTTTGGTTCTATCAACATTTAGAACAATCCTTAACTAGCATCACAATACTATTAAGATTATTCCTACAACTCATTTATCATTAATGGTAGCCCCTCCATATCAATAGATATGTGGCAGCCTCCCATGTGCTAAGCATCATCATGCAATCATACATTTACATACACATAACATTCATACATGAGTTGGAAGGTCAATTTACCATTTTAGCATACTTTTATCTCACATGACTCCATATTCATCAATATGGTTTCAATTTATGATCAAGTCCATTACTTATCATTCATATCATGTTCAAGCATATTTATTCACAAAAACATGATTTAAGCATTTAGGTAATCTCATGCATAACCTACAAGTTGTAAGCAACTAGATGTCGGTCCTCACCTCAAATGAGCTATAAAACCTTCCTTCTCGATCCAATGACCAAAGCCTCGGCCAAGGAATATTGAGAGCTGGTTCCTTGCTTGAAAATGGGTGTTAAACAGCTTCCTCAAGTTGCTATTTCAACTCCTAATCGTTGATACGAAAACAGCCCCTAGAACGGGTGTTTTCCGGCTAACTCGATTCCTAGTTTTCCAATATTTGCATCTAGGTTAGTATCTAACCTTTACATCAATAAAATAACTTAATAGGGATGTTTTATACACTTGGAGTAGTGTATAATAGTCCCACCAATCGTTCATATCATTTGGAAAATGAATGGAAAGGTTTTGGGATTAAAAACTCACTTAGAAGAGTAAATCCGTCCCTGCGAGGTCGCGTTCTGCTCGGACGATTTGGAAGCCTTCCTCTACTCCGATTGATGCAAACCAGACCTTCACGGATTCCTCGTCTTGAGAGCTTTCTTTTGGTATCTCACACGCCTTAATTGGATTGGTAAAACTCGAGATATCAACCAAACAGTCTCAGCACTCTCACAGCTCGAGTTCACAGACCACTGCTCGCTTCAGATCGATTTTTGGATGACTACTCTCTCCTCTCGAACAGAGACCACTCAATTATGAAAATAGACTTCAAAGGCTATCCAAGGACACCTTATACACCTCATTTGGACGAGTACAACTCTCAAAATGAAGGGAGACAAAACAGCACACTTGTTTGTGCGAAAACAGTGGTGGTGGCCCCAAAATTTGATTCCAATTGTGTCATGGGCAGTGCTTCTCCATGTGGTGCGGCCAAGGTGAGTCTTCTCACATATTTTCCTTGTCTTGCAGGTACTAATATCATGTGGAGTGGTTCCCCATTGATCCCAATTAATTTGGGATCCAAAATATCTATCAATACACCCAAAAATGGAAGAATGGGTCCTATTGTTTTATCTTTTGTCAAAGATGTCTTTTTGTACTCATCCTAATTTATTTAGAACAAGTCAACTTCCTACACAACATTATTGATCCCCAATATGTGTAGGCTCATCTCAATAATTTACTTGATGGATAATATAGAAGGAAAATCCTACTCCCATTATTTGGCTCAATAATGCCAAAGATGGGGTTATAGACATTTGTACTCTTCTTTAATCATCCTATCACTTATCTTGACATTTGTCATTCATATTATTGGGCTACAAGCCGTGTGGGTCGCCCCCGAGTGGGCCTACGACGCCATTCTCGAATACTTGCTATTTTAGCGGGTTGAGCCCAAAATAATATCTGGGCCGCCCGCCCCTCCTCAACTTGTCTTGAAACGTTATGTATCACTATTTAGAAAATGCTAGGCTCTTTTATTTATTAATAAGGCCCGATACTAATATACGAGTTCGAACAGTATAATAATCAATCATTAATTACGTAAAACAACAATCGTTTCACAATTGTTTGGGAATCAGAAATTCAATACATAAACTTTGAATTTTTAATTTGAATTTTCAAGGACGTTCGGGTGCGGTGTCACAAGTTCACCCCCCCTTAACAGGAATTTCGTCCCCGAAATTCACAGCTCTAACCGAATAGGATAGCATACTGCTTCCTCATCAAAGCCTCTGTTTCCCATGTCTCTTCTTCGACCCGATCGCCCTTCCAAAGTACTTCGACCATTGATACATGAAACACATTATGTATCTTCTCTAATTCAGGAGTCAACTGTAGACGATATGCAACGGCCCCAATCCTTTCTATAATTCTGAATGGACCTATGTATCGTGGGTTAAGCTTCCCTCTGGTTTGGAATCGAATGATTCCTTTCCAAGGAGAAACTTTCAAGAATACCTCGTCATCAACCTTAAACTCTAAGGTTCTTCGGCGCTTATCTGCATAACTCTTTGTCTATCCTGAGCCGTTTTGAGTCCCTCTCGAATCAACTTCACCTTTGACTTGGTGATCTCGACCAACTCAGTACCCTCGAGTTTGGCCATGCCAACCTCGTCCCAGCATAACGGTGTACGGCACCTCCTCCCATACAATGCCTCGTATGGAGGCATGCCGATGCTTGCCTGATAACTGTTGTTATGGGCGAACTCCACAAGTGCTAAGTGGTTGTCCCAACTCCCTTGGAACTCCAATCAATGCACAAGCCCTCAACATATCCTCTATGATCTGTATAACCCTTTCTGACTGCCCATCCGTCTGTGGATGGAAAGCAGTACTGAACTTCAACCTCATTCTCATAGACCCCTGAATTTTGGCCAAAACGTGATAGGAATCGTGGGTCTCTATCGGATACAATGGTCATAGGAATCCCATGTAGCCTCACGATCTCATCCGTATACAATTTGGCTAACCTCTCAAGTGGGTAAGTAATGTTGATAGGCAAGAAGTGTGCACTCTTTGTGAGCCTATCCACAACAACCCAAACCGCATCGTAGTTCCGAATTGTCCGTGGTAAACCTACCACGAAATCCATAGTCACATGTTCCCACTTCCACTCAGGAATGGAAAGTGGTTGTAACAAGCCTGCTGGATGCTGATGTTCTGCCTTAACTTGTTGACAAGTAAGGCATCGGCTGATGTACTCGGCTATTTCCCTCTTCATTCCAGACCACCAGTAACTTTCTTTCAAATCACGGTACATTTTCGTGCCCCCCGGGTGCATGGCATAAGCCGATGAATGAGCCTCCTCTAAGATGGACTTTCGGAGCTCATCATCTGACGGCACACACACTCGGTCACGAAATAACAAGAGACCATCATCTCTTTCCCTGAAATCCTCCACCGGTCCCGCTTGCATGCGTTCCCAGACCTTCATAAGTTCTGCGTCAGTCTCTTGACCCTTCTTGATCTCATCAAGTAAAGTAGGTCTCACCTCAAATCGTGCCAATAAGGCACCATCGCTGGATACCTCCAGTTGGGCTCTTAATGCCCTCAAATTAGCTAGCAATGCCCCAGACGAGCTCTTCCGACTCAAAGCATCTGCCACCACGTTTGCCTTGCCTGGGTGATACTCTATCACTAGATGGTAGTCTTTTATCAACTCCATCCACCGTCTCTGTCTCATGTTTAGCTCTTTCTGAGTAAACACGTATTTCAAGCTCTTGTGATCAGTGTATATGTGACATGTCTCCCCGTAGAGATGATGTCTCCATATCTTCAGTGCAAACACCACAGCCCCCAGCTCCAAGTCATGAGTAGGATAATTCACCTCATGTTTCTTCAACTGTCGTGAAGCATAGGCGATTACCCTCCCATTCTGCATCAGTACGCATCCAAGCCCTTGGATGCTCGCATCGCTATAGACATCGTACCCCACACCCTGTTTGGGTAATGCAAGTACCGGTGCCTCGGTCAATCGCTTCTTTAGTTCCATGAACCCCTCCTCACATTTGTCATCCCATACAAACTTAGCTCCTTTACGAGTGAGCTTCGTCAATGGTGATGCCAAAACAGAGAACTTCTCCACGAACTTTCTGTAGTAGCCTGCCAGTCCAAGGAAACTACAAATTTCCTTGACATTCTTTGGTCTCTCCCATTCAGTAATGGCCTCTATCTTCTTATTATCAACAGCAATTCCCGATCCCGAAACCACATGCCCGAGAAAGCCAATTTCCTTTAGCCAAAATTCACATTTAGAAAATTTGGCATAAAGTTGCTTCTCCCGTAGTGTCTCAAGAACGAGTATCAAGTGCTCTTCATGCTCTTCCTCATTCTTTGAGTAAATCAAAATGTCATCTATGAACACAATCACGAATCGATCCAAGTATTTGTGGAATACTCGGTTCATCAAGTCCATGAATGCCGCTGGGGCGTTTGTTAACCCAAACGACATAACAAGGAACTCAAAATGCCCATACCTTGTGCGGAAAGCACTCTTTGGTATGTCGTCTTCCTTAATCTTCAATTGATGGTACCCCGACCTCAAGTCAATCTTCGAAAACACGGTTGCTCCTCGTAGTTGATCAAACAAGTCATCAATTCTAGGCAAAGGATACCTATTCTTGATTGTGACCTTGTTCAGTTGACGATAGTCAATACACATTCGAAGTGTCCCATCCTTCTTTTTCACAAAAAGAACTGGTGCTCCCCACGGGGAGTGGCTTGGGCTAATGAAACCATTATCCAAAAGCTCTTGCAATTGGGTTTTCAACTCGTTAAGTTCAGCGGGTGCCATACGGTATGGCGGTATGGAGATTGGTTTGGTGCCGGGCTCGACCTCGATCACAAATTCAATCTCCCTATCAGGTGGAAGCCCCGGCAGGTCTTTAGGGAAGACATCCGGATACTTACAAACCACCCTCACATCATCGATGTTCATTTCTTCTTTGGTTTTGTCAACCACGTATGCTAGATATGCGTGGCATCCCTTTCTCATCATACTTTTCGCTCTCACGGCGGATATGATACAGCTATTTGATCTCCCTCGATCGCCCTCGAAGCGTAGGGTCTCCCCATCATTGCCTTCGAGTTCAAGAACCTTCGTGTAGCAATCTACCCTAGCATGGTTCCTTTCTAGCCAATCCATCCCTAGGATTGCATCGAATTCAACCATGCTCAGCGGTACGAAGTCACACGTCAAGGTTTGACCATTAACCTCCACCCCACAAGATGGATAGTAACAAGTTCTTTCCACGTCATCCCCTAGTGGTGTTGATACCACTAAAGTTTGCATCAATGGTGCGGATTGCACTCCCAACCTCTTGGCGAACGCTTCATTCACAAATGAACGTTGCGCCCCGGTATCGATAAGGATTCGCGCATCCTTCCCATTAATCTTTAGTGTTCCTACATTTATAAGTCATGTGAGATACCTTTCCTACCATTCTTATACATTTAGAGAGGTTTATTATGTTCACACACATGTTTGGGATCAAGAACGGGTCTTAACGTTGCAGTACGGCGCGAAAAAGTCGACTTTGGGCTGCCCAGGAGGTACGCACGGCGTGCCTAGGAGGTACGCACGGCGTGCGTGTCTTATAACCTCAAAACGGAGCTACTTCCACCAACGCACGGACCAACGCACGGACAACGCACGTCCGTGCGTATAGCAATTTCTTCCCGGTTGCTACTGCCACCAACGCACGGACCAACGCACGGACAACGCACGGCCGTGCGTATAGCAATTTCTTCCCGGTTGCTACTGCCACCAACGCACGGACCAACGCACGGACAACGCACGGCCGTGCGTATGGTCCAGCCTGGTGTGCGTTGGCGGAAATCAGCCGTCTTTCGCCCGATTTCGCTCCGTTTGACCCCAAAGCTTCATACAATGATCCCAACGACTAGTAACCTCAATTTATGGACTAATTAAGGATAAAAAACAAGTATACAAGAGGTACTACCTTCAACGGAATCCGGGTTAGCTTGAGCATCCGCCTCCGTCATCGCATAGACCCTAGCTTGGGTCTTTCCTTGGTTCACGGATGGCGCGTTGCTCGTGCTTGCTCCCCCATGTCCCCTGCTCCCTTGAGAAACCTCGGTTTGGTTTTCATTTCTTGTAGTTCCACCACTTGACCCCGAAGTTTGGTTTTGCACAATTTGTGGGCAACTCACTCTCGTGTGCCCGACCTCTGTGCATTGATAGCACCTGGGAGGGTCCTGACACTTACCCGAGTGGTGTTTCTTGCAATTGTTGCACTTAGGTACCCTCGGACCTTTTGACCTCGAGTTCGGGCCACCCAAGCCTCGACTCCACTCAAGTGATAGTGTCTGCGCCCTGAAGGTTTTGTCACCCTCAACGTTTGTCCTCCTTGAATGTCTTTGGGAATCGTTGTCTCCCCGCTTCCTTTTCCTTACTAATGGTATGCCCTCAGCTTGCCTAGCTTGGCGTTTTTGTATAAGCCTCACACGTTCACGTTGAAGCCAATCTATGACCATGCCCATTTGTTCAATGGGTGCACCATCAAGGTCCTCATCACTCAAATCATCTCCTTCGTCACCCGAAGCCTTGAGTGGTTCAGTTTTGCCATAACAAGGTGATTCTTCCTTGGTCTTAACATGACCACCACTCACGATTTGAGCTTCAAGAGTTTCGTGCACCTTTGGTCCTAAGGGCTTTTCTCGATTGGCATGCGTGGTTCCACCCAGTGCAAACCCTTCCGAGTTCTCCCTATTCATAATACCACCGTCACCCTCCATCGCTGAAAGAAATAATTAGAATGAGTCATTAGACTCGTTTCAAATGTCAACTGACAGATAGGCACTTAAGACATCCCTTGGGCCAAGTCACCGCCATACCAATCGTTAAGGGCGCCATCTTAACAATTAGAGACCTTGCAACTCAACACCAAAAGTTCTTAAGTACAAAACATTTTCTATGCTCATGGTTTTCAAAATCATTTTGAAAAAAGGAATTTTGAGACTTCATTATGAAGTTTATGGACTAAGGCTCTGATACCAACTTAATTGTCACGCCCCGGACCTCCCCGGACACGTCAACAACCCGCCGTACAATACAAATAGTCAACCGCAGTCCAACACATTCATATTATACAAGGCGTCTTGAATATCATTCACACACGTAACATCCATAAACAAACATAATAAGTAATTCATAACGCAGCGGAAAACATTGTTTAAAACAAAGGGCCACACAGGGCTATTCATGAGCATGCAGGCTCTAAAGTAAAATATCCATGAGCATGTTTATTAATGTTTAAAAAACGAATGGAGGAAGCACGAACCAAGTCTTCCCTCCTAGATGATCTCTCGAGCAACGAGCACAGGAAGCAAGCTCTAGCCTCAACCTGAAAAATGGTGGTGGGACGCCCCCGAAGGGGTCAGCACTCTATAGGGCTATAAAGTGCTGGTGTGGCAGGCATCTAATAGATATACAACAAGTATTTCACACACAAGACCCTCAAATAGGGTGATAATATAGTATAGGCCGTAATCTCAAATTACCCCTTTCAAAATATATACTTACTTTATATAAAGTCAAGTAGTCGGCTCAAAGGCCCATGTTTGTTATAAAACATTTTCCAAAACCCCGTGACTAATGGTCACGACATACGTAGGGTCCAACCCTAATACAACTTCTCATTTCTAGAGTTCGGCTCGAGTACATCATCATGCACTCGCATCATAGATCTCCTACTTCATATAATCATATCATAGATCTCCTACTTCATATAATCACACCATAGATCTCCTACTTCATAAAACCACACCATAGATCTCCTACTTCATAAAACCACACCATAGATCTCCTACTTCATAAAACCACACCATAGATCTCCTACTTCATAAAACCACACCATAGATCTCCTACTCCATGATTTCCCAATTGACACTTGAATCTCATTCAAGTTCATCACAAACAAACTCAACCTTTAAGTTTGGTTCTATCAACATTTAGAACAATCCTTAACTAGCATCACAATACTATTAAGATTATTCCTACAACTCATTTATCATTAATGGTAGCCCCTCCATATCAATAGATATGTGGCAGCCTCCCATGTGCTAAGCATCATCATGCAATCATACATTTACATACACATAACATTCATACATGAGTTGGAAGGTCAATTTACCATTTTAGCATACTTTTATCTCACATGACTCCATATTCATCAATATGGTTTCAATTTATGATCAAGTCCATTACTTATCATTCATATCATGTTCAAGCATATTTATTCACAAAAACATGATTTAAGCATTTAGGTAATCTCATGCATAACCTACAAGTTGTAAGCAACTAGATGTCGGTCCTCACCTCAAATGAGCTTTAAAACCTTCCTTCTCGATCCAATGACCAAAGCCTCGGCCAAGGAATATTGAGAGCTGGTTCCTTGCTTGAAAATGGGTGTTAAACAGCTTCCTCAAGTTGCTATTTCAACTCCTAATCGTTGATACGAAAACAGCCCCTAGAACGGGTGTTTTCCGGTTAACTCGATTCCTAGTTTTCCAATATTTGCATCTAGGTTAGTATCTAACCTTTACATCAATAAAATAACTTAATAGGGATGTTTTATACACTTGGAGTAGTGTATAATAGTCCCACCAATCGTTCATATCATTTGGAAAATGAATGGAAAGGTTTTGGGATTAAAAACTCACTTAGAAGAGTAAATCCGTCCCTGCGAGGTCGCGTTCTGCTCGGACGATTTGGAAGCCTTCCTCTACTCCGATTGATGCAAACCAGACCTTCACGGATTCCTCGTCTTGAGAGCTTTCTTTTGGTATCTCACACGCCTTAATTGGATTGGTAAAACTCGAGATATCAACCAAACAGTCTCAGCACTCTCACAGCTCGAGTTCACAGACCACTGCTCGCTTCAGATCGATTTTTGGATGACTACTCTCTCCTCTCGAACAGAGACCACTCAATTATGAAAATAGACTTCAAAGGCTATCCAAGGACACCTTATACACCTCATTTGGACGAGTACAACTCTCAAAATGAAGGGAGACAAAACAGCACACTTGTTTGTGCGAAAACAGTGGTGGTGGCCCCAAAATTTGATTCCAATTGTGTCATGGGCAGTGCTTCTCCATGTGGTGCGGCCAAGGTGAGTCTTCTCACATATTTTCCTTGTCTTGCAGGTACTAATATCATGTGGAGTGGTTCCCCATTGATCCCAATTAATTTGGGATCCAAAATATCTATCAATACACCCAAAAATGGAAGAATGGGTCCTATTGTTTTATCTTTTGTCAAAGATGTCTTTTTGTACTCATCCTAATTTATTTAGAACAAGTCAACTTCCTACATAACATTATTGATCCCCAATATGTGTAGGCTCATCTCAATAATTTACTTGATGGATAATATAGAAGGAAAATCCTACTCCCATTATTTGGCTCAATAATGCCAAAGATGGGGTTATAGGCATTTGTACTCTTCTTTAATCATCCTATCACTTATCTTGACATTTGTCATTCATATTATTGGGCTACAAGCCGTGTGGGTCGCCCCCGAGTGGGCCTACGACGCCATTCTCGAATACTTGCTATTTTAGCGGGTTGAGCCCAAAATAATATCTGGGCCGCCCGCCCCTCCTCAACTTGTCTTGAAACGTTATGTATCACTATTTAGAAAATGCTAGGCTCTTTTATTTATTAATAAGGCCCGATACTAATATACGAGTTCGAACAGTATAATAATCAATCATTAATTACGTAAAACAACAATCGTTTCACAATTGTTTGGGAATCAGAAATTCAATACATAAACTTTGAATTTTTAATTTGAATTTTCAAGGACGTTCGGGTGCGGTGTCACAATGGTAATACTAAAGGAGTGTTTGGGTTTGCTTAAAAAAAGCGCTTTTCAGCTTTTGGCTTAAAAAAAGTTGAAAAGAGTGTTTTCAAATGACAGCTTCTGCTTAAATTAATCACTTAAAAGCTAAAAGCTGGAAGCAGGTAGAAGGGTGCTTTAAACTGCTTCTCACTTTTTCTATTACACAAAAAGTACTTATTTTACCAAACACTATCAACTTTTACTTTTTGAGAATCACTTTTTTCTCAAACACTACCAACTTTTACTATTAATCACTTTTCCCAAAATCACTTTAAAGAATCACTTTTTTAAAGTTGAAGCAATTGCAAACACTCCCTAATATTAGTATTTGTCAGAGCAGCTGTGAAGAAATGAAGACCCCAGATGCAACTGTTAAAGGGGAGTGTTCTAATGCGAGCGCATTGTACACTACTGTGCCAACAAACCAAACAATGTGTGCGTGTCACCAAGAGTCGTCAACTTGCGCAAAATCTCACGCGCCAATTCATTTTACGGTTCACACAACCCTAAAAATAACGATGGTTCTCGTGAGTGTCATATTGTCCGTATAACTTATCTTGAAAATGAAAATGTTGTTTGTACCCGTCTTATACTTACTTTTATATTCATCAGTGTGAGATGCTGTTTTTTTTTGTCTTTGAAATTTTCATACACGTATATGTTTGTGTACAACTATATACTACATCTGTCTCACTAAGATTGAGACGAGAGAAAGTGACACGATTATTAAGAAAAATAAGTTTGTGTGATTGATATTAAATTGATAAAGTAAGAATAAAGTAAGAATGATTTAGAGCCACAAAATCTTTACCAAATTTGGTATGAGACAATTTTAGTGGGACGGAGCGAGTATATATATCATGTCTTCATAATTATATTGTTGTGTTATCCCGTTATGGTAGCATGAGATGGTGTTCCATTACTTAGTTTATATGTAAATTTCATTTAATTGTAGCATGCCCTTTCATTAGGGTATGTTTGGGAGTTTGAAGGGGAGAGAAAGGTTTTGAAGGTTAGTCATTGGAAGTGAATGAGAGGGAAAGGGGCGGGTTGAAAACCTTTCTTCTTGTTTTGGAGTATCAAGTTTGAAAAGATAAATGTTTTGGATGAATTATAATAAAAATCACTCCACATATATGACGAATTCAAATGATTGAGTTTATATTTATTTAAAATTTAGCTAAATTTGTCATTAATTAATTATCTTTCTAAATCTCCAATTTGGGAGAACTTGAAAAATTGAACTTTTTCAAAGGTTTTGGAGGGTTACAAAAGCCATCCAAAACCATTCCCTTCATATTCTTTAATTCCCAAACATGAAAGAGAGAGCTATCAACACTTGCCAACCCCCCGTCCCCTCCAAAATCCAACTCCCAAACATACATTGAGTCTTTTTGTCCCACCCCGGCCTCCATAATGTATTCTTTCCCGAACCTTGAATTAACACAGTTGCTCATCTATCTCTATATTAAAAGAGGTGGAAATTTTGTTGGATTTCCCGCCCAAAAAATATGGATACACGAATGGGTTGGGTTTTATACCATTTCTTTGGTTCGTTTGTCAGATAACACGTGAAGAACGGCTGGGGCATTAATGTGGAATTTATGCCCCGTTTTGCTAACACTTTGGTACTAAGTATTGCTGGAATTTATAATTAGGACCCGAATGATATAGATGGAAGAGCTGTAATGAAAAACAATGATAGAGATCCTACATCCGGAACCTTCCGTAGACAAAAGGAGGAATGCGCTTTTATTAGTGAGCAATCTTGCAGTGATGAGGGGTGTGACAACAATTGTTGATTTTGGGAGTTTTTTTGGGTTATTTTCATAATTTGTTAACGATGGCATTATCCTTTACTTTCTTTTAGTATATTTGTACATTTTGAATACTCCGTATCTGTTTGGGAATATTGTTGATGGGAGAAAGAGTTTGCTAAAAATATGTAACTTAGATGAAAGTTCATCCGTTAGAAACCCACTTTGACTGGATATGCGCAATTGAATTGAACGGAATGACTTGCTACAAATCCATTCGGCCAAGTTTGTTACATCAGAGAATTGCTTGCCAACGGAAAACTTGAACACGCAAATCAAAATATACAAGAAATCTCAAAAGAATAAAAGGAGGCACAACATGACAACTCGGTCTCAGTCTAGAGAATTTCCTTCAGTCTAGCATTAGGCTTTACTTTCTATGTAATGTTTTTTTTCTTCTTCTTTTTTCCTTCTTTTTCTTTCCTTTTTGTATTGTAATGTTTGCGTTTCTTTTTTCAATAAAATTTACTTTTTCCAAAAAAAAAAATTAAACGACAGTAGATGATGGAGAAAGAGGGGTGTCGAGTTTTGAGGATATGACACCGCCCCCATATGCTCGACACTGTTATCCCTTTTTTCAATTAAAATTTTAAATTAAATACTGGAAATGTTGTGCGGTTTAAAATACTCGAACTAAAATTATTTTTAATGGTGTTCATCGTAAATCGTAGGAATCCATTCTATCTGGACAACTTTTGAAGTGGTTGAATTCATTTTTTAATTTGCGGACTTGATAATTAATACGATTGTTTAATCTACCAAGTTGTATAGTGTAAGTGTCTTAAATAAGAGTTTGTCCTAAAAGCAGAAAAAACTCTAGAGTGTTTTTTTATCTATCCGAATTAAAGCAATTATTATCATCCATGGAAAATATTTCATTGTATAATTTCATAATGTTTAAGACTTAAAAGTATTATTGTAAAATTCTAGCATTGTCCTAAGGAGTTTTTATGTTCAATTCTTCTTGCTTATTGTTTATTACTACTTCAATTCGTTTTTAGTTGCAATTCTTTATTATCATCATGAAATTAGATGGAATCATGGGTGTTTAATATTTGTCTATGACAGACAAATTAATGTTCCTCTGTTAGGGAGAATAAAATGTGTCTATTCTACTTCAATTGTGAATTGAATTTTGCCAACTTTTCTTTTTGGTTGTCCCAAAAAACTTTGTGGTTCTTCTCATTTCTCACTTTTCCATTAAAGTAACTATTTTCTGGTTCTTCTCATTTCTGTCTTTTCTGCATAAATTTCAATCACACAATTTTTTATTTTATTTTTATGTCTCACCTTATTCAAAGAGTGCAAAGTCAGTTGGGACAGAGGCAATACTATAAAAGAGAGGATAACAAGTTTGATGGGTCTGAGATAGGAAAGGACTCAAAAAGAAATAAGGGAGGTGACTAGGTGAGCGTATACGAATCTCTATGTGAACTTTTTTTTGGATTGAAGCTGCATTTTGGACTGAGGTGATTCCAAACAAGACTGTTGTCCGGCCACATCATTTTGAGGTGATTCCAGCTGAAATTTATTGATGAAATTTTGAAATTTATTGGAAAGACGGTTAAATAAACCTTTGGAAATTATTGTGCAAAAATATGTATAAAAAACAATTGTTTTTAAAAAGTTTATTTAACTGATTTCTCGATTGAATTTTTAGCTAAAATTGGGTGGGCATAATCTACACCTCATGAAGAACATGATTATAAAATTTTATCAAAAAATTCCTCCTAAACCATCTCAAAATGATGTGGTCGGACGGTAATTAATCCTGTTCGGATTTTTCGAACATGAATATTTGTGCACATAAGATAATATATGATAAAAGGACCACAAACAATTACCATCCTCAAACCAGACTTAGAATCAATCAACTTCAAAAAGCAATATGACTTGTTGATCCTATAATGGGCAAATAAGCACACGACGGTTAAAGCAGACCTCTCATCACTCAATCCTAGTGCAAGAATCTTACAACAATAAAAGTAACCCACACAAAAATAAACAGTATGATCATGAAAAATAAATAGTAAATCAAACAGTAAAATTAAAATGCTACTTCCAAACCCCAAACTCTCCTGCACTCCATGGCGGTGGCTCAGGAGGGGGACGATCCAGCAGTACTGTAGCTGCTTCCTCTATCATGTTCACTACCAAACCTCCTCTATCACCACCTATCACGAATGACTTCAAATCAAGATCTGTTCTAGCCTCTAGCTTCACGCTTCGTCCACGACCTTTGACCACTA